CACGCAGGGACAAAGTCAGAGCTGACCCCTGGGATGCGGGGAAAAAGCGCCCTGGAATGGAACCCAGCGGTGTGGGAGAGGGAGAAGTGGGCCAGTGAAAGAGGTGGCTGAGGGGGTAGAGATCCTAAAGCCGAGGAGCTCCTGTGGGGAGCAAAGTCATCATAGAAACAAACTTAGACGCCCTGTTCGTGTAGCGCTTGAGAGAACGAGGAAAACTTTTAATTATTGACAAACATCAGTTTTTAGGGTGGCTTTTCATATTAAGCCTGTACGTATATATCAGATCAAAATTAATATCTAGCAAAGCAATTTGCCATCCTAGCACTTTTCTGACATGCTGGTTTGTTGTTTCTGCCAGAGGCTTTTGTAAATTCTCGTTTTGACGCAAGCCCTCAAACAAATTGTTCTTGGGGGGGGGAAGAACACCTCTGCGGGCAGCCCACCCCGTACTTACCCCAGGGCACGGCAGAGGATGCGGGCTGGGGACCAGGACCAGCCCTGGCTGTGCTCGCTGCTGCAGGCAGGCGCTGGGCAGAGGGCTGGGAAGCCGTATTTAACCCAGCCAGAGCAAACCCCAGGGGCCTCACCGGGGGAGTCGCAGCTGATTTCTTCGCTCTTCAGGGGGTGTGAGCACCACGGGACTGCGTACGAGTAGGTTTTCCTGATCCCTCTGAAAAAAAATGGCAGAGTGCAAAAACGTGAGCGGAGGCAGCTTTGAGGCACCGGTTGGAAAAAAAGAAAAAAAAGGTAAAAAAAGGCGTATTCAGAAAATTCACCAGTTTTGCCCTGCTCTGTGAAACTTTTGCATTCTGGAAAGAGAAGACAACCAGCCTCAGCGCCTTCCACCCCCCCAGGTGCCTCCACACAGGTCCCCCATTTATATATAGGCACACCTTATATATGTATATTTGTATATGTGTGTGTATCGCATTTAGATCGATAGATAGGTTACATACAAGGAAAGAAGGACAGTAAGAAAAATTCCTGAAATGTTCCCAAAAAAAGAGCATAAACCAAAAGAACCAGCCAACAGATTCATAATCAGAAACTTCATTTTGAGAATTTATTTGATTCTGTGATGAGTTTCACAGAGAGATGGTGGGTGGCGGGGCAAAGAGAGGGTGGGTGGCGGGGTAGAGAGATGGAGGGTGATGTGGAGATCCCTTTGTCCATGGCTGTGGGGAGCCTCCAGCTGCCTGTTCCCCACCATTGATGGGGTACAGACTGGGGCTATGTGCACCTCCTAACCCTTCAGTCAACGTCCTTGTAGAAACTGGGACACTCTTGGGCTCGTGGCAACGAGGGTGAGGAGAAGAGCATGGCATGGTCTGATCATGTCCCTGTCCGGGCTACGGATCAGTGGAACTCCTTGCTGTGGATCTGAATGATTTACAGGAGTTTGAAAGGAGATTGGGAGAGTCTTGGAAGAGCGATTGCTGAGGGCTGCCTAAAGCAGACCAGCCCCCTCCTGAAACGAAAAGAGCAGGGTGCTGGAGGACGATTAAGGGGCACGATCAGCTACCCTGCACTGGTTTCGTGTCATTTGCAGACTTGCTGCCGCATCAGCTGGGTGGTTAGTGAAGTGGTTAAACTGTGCTGCCCCCAGTAATAACTCACTAGTGACTGACCTCCAACTGTACCCTGTGCCACAGATCGGACCCTTAAAGGCAGGAAGCTCAGATCCTTTTCTCTCCTCAGACTCAAGGAACCCATCCAGGAGATGAATATTTTGGGGTGGTAGGGAGAAGACCAAGATTTATTGCACAGTGCAGAGCTGTGTGCACAGACAAAATCGCCTGGAGCAGCTGAGTTCTCGCAGCGTGGTGCTGTGCCCCGGGGGACAGACGAGGGTGTCCTCTCAAACAGGGCAGCCTGTGGCACATCCCGTGCCGGCAGCGTTGAGCCTGGCCAGGGCACCATTCTGCAATGAGAAGCTCAGGTACCTCTGTGCCTCGGGAAGCCGTTGGGTTTTGGTCTCCAGGATCTCCTCCATGGTCAACACGTGTCCTCTCTCCACTCCCACAATCTGATTTTACCTGAGGCTCCCTCGGCCATCTGCAGCCCTGCGCTTTTTGTGATTGTCAGGATTTGTCCCAGACTTACCCAAAACTGTCTCCAAGCACCAGGAGCCTGAGCTCAGACACTAAGCTGCTGCAGCTTAACGAGCTGTGGTGTCAGACGAGCACGGTTGTTCCTCGGGGGCTGTGTTCCCTTTCACATGTGACGTGGCTCAGCTCTCAGTGAGCGAAGATGAAGCCAAGCAGAAATTCCCAGCGTTTCTGGGGGTTAGAGCAGTCCCTCCAACACTTTCTGTAGCTCAGATGACGCAAAATACCCTGAGAAAGGCTCTGACTGCTTTGCTTGTCAGGCAGGGTCTTTGTCAGGACTGTGGGAGGAAAGAAACTGTTCCCAGATGGCATTTTGTCAGCGTACTTATCAGCCTGAAATTTCCCTGTGCTTGCCACAACATACCTTGTGCCCTAGCTGAGAGCACGGGGTTGGGAGATGTCTGAATTGACAAACTCTACTATGAACACATAAACTACAGAATTTAGACTAAGCAGAAACACACTCGCTTTGGACTTGGAAAGGCAATTTTTGACCCTTACCTTTAAAGTCCCCTGGAACTTAAATTTACAGTCCTTATCCTTTCCTGGCACTTCTGTTCTGTGTAAGATAACGTTTGCTTTCAACAGGGCAAAGCATTTCCCACCACCTCCTTCCCCCACAAACACCACGTGTCTGTGGCAGACCCTGTCAGGAGACGTTAGGAGTGCAGATGTTTTCAGCTGTGGCAGCTGTTCAGTGCCCAGCCCGATGGGGTTTGAGTCTGCGAATACTAGTGCAAGTGGTAACAGTGCAAGTTGCTCAAGGGGTGTACTGTGTATTTGAAATACACCCTTTTCCTTTCCTGCTAGAGTCAGCACAAATATTTCCACTGGCTTCAGTGATGTAGGATGGAGCCTGAGCCAGGGATGCAAAGCAGGATATACTGGTGTTTCTTTGTGCTTCATCCTTGCCTCTAAATTCTTGTTGCTGCTGATGATAGCATGTTCAATAAATACCATTCTTCACTTCAAGGCTTAGGAGCTCAAGCAAATCTGCATGGAGCTCATGTCAGCATTCAAGAACCTCAGCATTTTTGCCCTGACAGCTTTCCCAGGCTTGGAAACGTCTCACCTCTGCTCTATCTGTTTCAGTGTGAGCCTTGGCAATGCCTCCTCATCTTTTATGCAACAAGAGGACTGAAGCCCACGTGCTATTTCTTGGCCATGTTTTCCATTGTTCTTACTGTCTGTCTTCAGGACAGACTGTGCTGGGCGCATTCTGGTTTAAGTACAGGGAAACCAGCTGCACTGCTTGTTTCCCTCAAATCTTCTTCACCCCCTCACTGTGGCTCATGGAGATGCCTATGCTGCTGCTGGTGGCCCTCGGTAGCTTTGTGGCAAACCACAGCCTCCTGCAGTACGAGTCAACATTAACCACTTGAGAAGTGACCGTGGTGGGACTGGTGTTCATGTCCTTGTTGTCCCAGGAGGGAAAGTGCCTGGACTGGGTGCTTAAAAGACTGCAAAGAGGCAAAACTTCAAAAACTGGGAAGTAGATTTTTATTTTTTAAAATTATCTACCATAGCATCAGCCCCTTATTGTGGCCCACTGCGATGTGCGTTGGTGAGGGGCACTTTAAAGAACTTCTCTGGAGGTCTGTCCTTAGCCTGGACCACAGACCCAGCCCAGCTGGGACACCAGGGGAAGGTGAATGTGCAGGGTGTTTTGCACAGCATAGGGCACGGTGTAAAGGCAGAGAAGTGCTTGGGGCTGAGACGTGTGGAGTGAGGTGTTTCTAGGGCGGATCCTCACTCAGCAGTTGGGAGCTGGTTCACTGTGTAAAAGGGATGAAGGAGGGTTCAGAGGGCTGATGTTTGAGCTTTGGCCAAAAAGAGGATTATTGATGGAAGTCTAGATGAATCCCCCCTTCATCATTGCAGGGCAATGGCACAGGAAAAGCAGAAGAGCGCAGGAATTGCTCAGATGGGTTACAGGGAGCAAGTCGCCATTAGTACCTAGGTGACATCTCATTAAGGACAGTCAGTTTCAAAAATGACCAGACTGGAACTTCTTCTAAAACCCATATCACTGTCCCCAACACCGTTGTCTCAATGCTCTGAGCAGACCCTGCTCTAC